CACTGGGCTCCTTGTCCCCCCCCCCGCCCGGGAGCCCCATCCCCAGCTGGGCTGGGACACCAGGCTAGTGGTCCCCGCAGCCAGAACAAGGGCACACCCCGAGGGTCACTGCCTGGCTGTGGAGCCCTGAAGGTACAACCCCTACACGCCGTCCTTTCCTTCCAACCCATTTCTGAGAGTCTCGGGTGCCCAAACACGGCTGGCTTCACGCTCTGAAGAAACAGCAGTCATTTTAACACCGATACAGGATAGACGCAGCTCCCGCAGGACGTGCTGTGGGACATGTTCAGGCTGTGCACACCCCCTCACTGCAATCAGCTACTTCAGCATTCCCAAACCCAGAAGTTGGGCGAGTCCATCAGCCTCTCCAGGAGACACAGGCCTCCAAATGTTCCTCCACAGGGACAGGCTGCCACTGCCTGGGACTTCCACTGAGCCCTGTGCTCCATCTGGCTACCTGCAAGCTGCCCTGGGCTTCGGAAGCAAACGGCTCCTTCCCAGTTCCTGCAGGCTGTGGTGCAGCCATTTTTGATGCAGGTGTCTGTTAAGCTACTAGACCACAGCAGCGCTGATGGGTATAGAAAAGAAATCCAGCCCACTGGAAAATTAGCAGCATTTTGCAGAGAGCTGCCAAGCCTGGCTCTCCCTGGGCAAAGCTGAAGGGATACGAGAGCCGAGCAGGCAAGGCCGGCATTTACCCTGTCGCAGGGAAGGATGCTGGTGCAAGGCCCGTTGCACTGATAGTCCTTGGCTGGAGGGGGAAAGGAGAGCCCTCCTCCGCTGTGCTTTGGTGACGGACAGGTACCACTGCTTGTTTGAGGCAGCACCCCTGAAATACCTTTTCCTCCTTAGAAATGGCACTGCTCCATTTTTTTTTCCTGAAGTGAATTGTAAACACAGGCCATATATGCCCAGGACACCTCTGGAGATGTCTTAATATCTTTCCTGATAGCCATCTGTTCCAACAAACCCAGAGTGCTCCTAGAGATCTGGAGATGAAGGTCATGTTAGGGACAGGTTCAAGACTGGGATGGTGAGCTGCAAAGTGCCTGCACTGCGTTATCGCACAGAGAATCATCGCTCCTGACATCTGGAGTGCTTTATTGGCTAGATATAGCAACCATCTTAATAAAACATTTACTGAAAATGAGATGCAAAGAGGCAGTGAGTCAACAGGAGATGATGGTTTAGCACAGGAAGCGAAATTTTTGGGAGGAGGCTGGGCAGGCAATCATCTGGCTGGATGCGGTCCAAGGCAGCGCTAGTGCAAGAGCCGCTTGCAGAGAGCACCGTGGTGGTATCGTTATGGACCACAATAGCTTCAAAAATAGCCATGAACAAATATAGCAACAAAATGAGCAGCAACAAAGCACATCACAGGCACGTTCCCAAACAAAAGGCTGAGCTGTGCTTCCGGCACACGCGTTGTACCTCTCTTCTTACGGCAGCGTGGCTTTACCCAGCTGCATTTTATCTGACATTTTAACTTGTGGCTGTGTTGAAGTGGCAGCAGCAGCTCTGGGAGCTGGCTTAGAGATGCTGAGTTACCACGGAAAAACATAGCCATGCATATTGCTTGAGAACCAAGATCATTTTTAACCCCTTTTTTAAATCTGTTTGTTCTGAAATTTATTGAGAGCTACTGCATTGTCTCTCTCAATCTTTCTGAAGCAGGCCAGCTTTTGATTCCCGTTGGTTTTGGACCTGCAATGATTGTTCCACCGCTCCAGCCATTTAAACAGACACCACCTAGCAGCTCCTTAGGTGTCTCTTACTCTGTTTGCGAGAAAAGCCTGGACTCACAGCAATAAAATGAGGACTCACCCATGCTGTCAAGGTCTGAACCCAGCAAGAGAAATGAGTCTGAAAGAGGTGCACACGTAGGTAACAAGACTGTTCGGTCCAGAGTGGCTGTCCTGCTGCCTGGGGACAGCGCAGCGCCTTGCTACGGCACACCAGCACCCCGACCTTCCCTCGCCTGGTCCCACGTGCTGACCGCATCTGCACCTTTAGCAAAGGGCTCACGCGGCCCAGTGCACTCAGTCTCTCATTTTTTCTTTTTTTCTTTCTCCAGAAATGGTTCAAGCAGCGCCTGGCGGAGTGGAGGAAGTCTGAAGGGCTGCCCTCGGAAAGCGGCTCTGTCAGGGACTAGAGGACGCTGCTCCAATCCCCGTGCCTGCTGTAAATGATGGTGAAGCTCTTCAGAGTGGGCTCCCTTGGGGTTCTTCTGTTGCAATATGTCTTGAGATGCAAAGTAATACCCTGCTATTTAACATAAGTTTTATTTAAAGTGTACATAACCAGGAAAATATATATGTGTGTGTGTATACAGCTTCTGATGGCTGCATAACCTGCCTAGTGATTCCCATCCATTAACAGCGGCTGCAGAGGGCAAGGCAATCTCATGCCCTTGTGTCCCAGGCTTGCAGAAAAGCTGCCATGAAAGGTTCAAACATAGAAGGGGGCAAAAACAATTTCTGTTCTTTACAATCCCCAGAGGCAGTGCCTGCGTGCTAGCTTTAATATACAGATCATCCAGAGAGGGGGCACCTGGAAAATGACATGTGTTGTTCAGGTGATCTTGGTTAGCTCAAGATATTGGCAAACCAAGAGCTTACACAACAACCAGACCAAGCCAAGCCCCCCCGAATGCATTTCTCACATTTCTGTTAAAGGACACCAAAGGGAAAGAACTGGTCTTTTTTTTTTCTTTTCCAATGCATTAATAAAAAATAGAGTTTTTTGATGAGAGGAGCTGTGTTATGTCCCTGCTTGTGCTCCCTGCCCCAATGGCAGGAGGCAGACTCCTTCCTCCGGGAGGGCAACAAATCTCCAAGGCGGCCCCAGTGGGCACCGTGGGTTTTCCCTCTTGCCACAGGGACAGCCCACAGACGTGGGCGACCTCCTCTCCTAGGACACCCACGGCTCCGTCCCTGGCAGCCCACGCACACCCCAAGCCCCGAAGGGGGAGCAGGCGGCGCAGGGCCAGACCCAGCCTCCTCCTGCCCATTCTCAGGTCTGAGGGACGCAGCTGCGCTGGGGCTCTTGCGCAAAGCCCGGGCTCTCATCCATCCCGGCAGAGGACAATGCACAGGCTGAAAAATAACCAGCACCGTTGCCCAGCGACCTTACCTCACCTTGTTCAAAAAGGTTCAAAAATCCTCTGCTTAGTGGATTATTGAATCAATTAGTGGATCCTCTGATTAATCCTCTTCTGGTTTGTGGTACCCTGCCTCTACTCCTTTGGAAGGAGAATCAGCTTAGCACGGGGAAGATTCAGAACCATGGGCACTGAAACTGCCGATGCCTTCATTTGTAGCTTTTGTGCCTTGCGGGAGAGCACCTCTTGCCTCAGTATCTCCAGCCCATCGCCAGTGGCTATGCTGCCAGTGCACTCACAGGAAACAGATAAAAGCAATCTCCCTCTGCCATGTCCTGCACAGGCTGTGTTGTTCCCCTGCAATCCACCTGCCAAGCTGACTCACCCTCCAACCCAACTGGAGCTCAGAGTCTGTTCTGCAGCCTGGCACCGATATCTGAAGTTTTCTTCTTAGTCTTTGCAACATGCCTTCTCCCTTACACGGAGGGGAACTCTGCTTTTTCGAGTGGGGCTCCAAAAACCCCAGCGCAGGGCTCCATTATTTTGCCCAGGGACACACAACTGAGTATCTGAACTGCACGGATTTAACCCACCTGCGTAACTTGTATCAAAGACGCACGCAAAGCAAAAGGCTGGATCTGCCCCATCTCCAGGCATTTGAGAAAACGGGCCCCGAATCCAAGACAACTCAACGCACACACCACCCCAGCATTTCCAAAGTCTGTACTAAAGCTTTGGATCTTACCAAATCCAGCCCTGGATCTGGAATTTTGAAGACTTCTGTGTTTCTACTTCTGTCACACGCACAACACTTTGAGCGCCATTAAGAAGATCTCTAAACTTTAGCAAAAATTTTGAAACCCAAGGTCAGGCGTTGTGTTGCATCAACTCACTGCGTGCCGTTGGCTTTGGCTTGCCACACTTCTTTATGGGAAAGAACATTTCCTGTGCTGGCTCCCCCCAGCAGCTGTTTCACTACTTTAACTATGACAGCACAACAATAACAGTGATAAACTCCAGACATAACCCATCCTAGGGAGAGAGGCTTCCCCCATTAGGTCAAATTCTGCTCATTTCCCCAAGTGAGTATGTTGTTCATAAGGAATGACCATTTTATTTAAGCCCTCAGCACAGCCCAAAGCAGGTGATTTTCCAAGGGGCAGTGGGGGCAGCCGCCCGAGCAGCGGGCTGTGGTTCTGACGGGGGTGAACGCATCTGGGTTGAACAGCGCCGAATCCATCAGACACCTGGAGGGGCGAGGACGGGCCGGTCAGCGCCAGCAGAGCCGGGCCAGCTCTGAGAGCTGTCTGCCAGCAGACAGTCCTCCTCCTCAGCCCTGCCCTTCCCTGTCAAGGGAGGACAAAAGCACTCCTGCCTCCGCTGCTGTCACCACCAGGACACTCGGGAGACGGGGTAACCCGTTCCCCACTACGGCCAGGCATTCCCTCACCCTCGGCGAAACCTCCTACCCAGCAATTCCTGCAGCCCAGGCTGAGGCCAGCGGCGCCGTGCTGGGCAACATGGAAGCGCTACGCTGTGCCTTGTGTCAGCTGGTCGCTTTTTAGTTAAGAAGTCCCCTCCAGCAATCCCTACTGGAATTAGTAAGCTCCTATTTCTTCTCTTTTGGTTCTCCTTCTGCCTCAGAAATGCTTTTCAAACCCCAATCCACGTAGCATTAGCACATCCAACTATACAAAATCCCTGCATTTTGGAAGTGGAGGAGCAGTGGCTTAATCACACTGGCCAAACCCACATCGACAAGGTGCCGTGGCCTGCACAAAAAGGGCTGACAGCTGATCATTTCCCCGTGGCAAGGAAGCAGCACCTACCTTTTGCAGGGCTGGGCCAGTTCCACAAGCCTTGGCGTGGCCACTGTGTGCTTTGCAGCCCTCGTCACTGGCCACTTGGCATCCCGCAAGGGCACGAAGTCAGGATGCAATCGTTTTGCCCTAGCCAGCTCCAGGGTCCGAGGGCTCGCGACTGCCTCCAGAGCCAACTTGGAAACCTGTGGCCAAACGGGGAGGAAGGTCCTTACAGGTGCTCCCAGCATTCAAGGGTGACCAGCCTGCAACTTGGTGTGCCCAGGTTCACGGCCACTGACCACACACTGGTGGGACACGATCCTGTCTACTGTTGTGTCTGGCACCAGAGAAGCTGTGGAAGGAGAAAACCACCGCCCGGCCAGTCCCACAGCCTGCCCTCCAGCCTCCTCTCACTCATAGCCCTTTGTCCAACCCATCCCCCAGTTCTGGAGATCCCATTTAGACACTTGTCCATCTCTCCCCATCCCCACAACTGCAGGCTAGGCACAGGCATGCCCTTCTCTGGGGATGTCTGCCGGGAGCTGGTTCATGCTCTGGATGGAGGACGAGTCCTGCTCTCCAGCCCAGGAAAGCGGCTACGTCAGCCTCACAGACAGCAGCACATCTAGGGATGTCACGAAGAGAATCACCAGTGACTGAGCACCCGGTGCCCTCTGCCCAGCGTCCCCGCCTTGCACAATCCCGGGCGGTGCTGCCTTACCGGACGGATGACGGCTTCGGGGAAGCTGTGCTCGTAGCAGCAGGTCACCTTCCTGACCCGGGGCTCTGCCAGACGCTGTAACCGCGAGGGTGCTCTGGCCAAGGCTGCGATGTTGGCAACCCGTGTTGGCACCTGTATGGGTTCAGAATGGGGGAGGGATGTGCAGACACAGAGCTCGCCCACAGCAGCCCCCAGGGACTCACTCCCTCTCCAAAGGGACGAGCACCCAGCACCCTTCCTCTACAGATACTACGGACACAAGAAGGAGCACTCTTACTTTCTTACCTTTCGGTTACTTTTCTTTTACCTGAACTACGAGGTAATTTTGGCGCTATTGGGATTTGTATGTCTTTGCCAATATTACTTTTTTTCCCCAGCGGTCGCCCACTCATAGCCGGGAGAGGAATGCCTGTAATGAGAGCCTGCGTAGCCAGGTCAAAGCGCAGAGAAACTTCTTCCAGAGTAGATAAATGTTTTTCAGATTCATCTTCCTGGCTGCATCAAATAATTTCCTTGCTATGGACAGGTGCTCCAGTTCCAGGCTAAAAGTGCTGGTGCAGCTAACTGCATTCCTACAGCCAAAGCGATTACTGCTCCAGCATGGGACTTCTTCCCCTGTTTTTTACTGCGTTACTGATGCCAAGGCCTGCTCCAGCACAGCCTCCTTTATTTCCCAGCCCAGAGACTGCAGCCAGAAAACTTCGCCTTTGCCATGGAAGAGGCTGTAATCTGAGACTGCTCCAAGCCCTTTCACCCCTGCCAAAGTAATGACCCACTTAAAAGGAACAAGTTCAGAAATATATCTCTAAATTTGGCTTCTGGTAAAAGACTGTGAAAGTATACATAGCGTTTGCAGGCTCGCTCCCCCCCCCATATACATAGATAGGAGCACAGCTGTCCAACTACAAACACGACTGTACTCTCTAGGAGCTAAACAGGCCATTCCCACCAAGTTTCTCCACTTTCCCAGGCTGCTTTATCAGGGGATGCAGCCCAGATGCCTCCCTTGGCTCTCCTGCTACTCCAGGCTGCTCCACCCTGGCCGTTTTCCATCTCTCAGCAGGGAGACTGTCTTTCAAAGACAGCATCTCACTCCAAAAAGGCAGTTTCTCCCAGTATCTCAAACCCCAGCAGAAGGCTTTTCCCCTCCACAGCACACACTGGGCATATCCAGGGGCAGGATACAGGGTGTAAAAACTCAGGACAGTTTGCTGCATCGCTGTCCCCTCCAAATCTCCCTCAGCCACCTCCTCACCTCTCTGGGCAGCAGGAACTCTGGGTGAAGCCCCGTCGGCCGTGCAAGCTCCAGGATCCGTGGGGATGCCCGATAGCTCAGTGCAGCTGGTGACACGGGCCACTCCGGGGACTGGAGAGGTCTGGAAGCAGAGAGTCATGGCACTAGCACTCACAGAGATTCCCCCACACTGGTTAAACCAGGCTGCAGCCTCATGTTTGCTGCAGCAGAAGGCAGCTTTGTCCTGTGGCCATTTCCAGCACAGAACCCATTCATCCCTTGAAAGCGTCCAGAGGTCCTAAGCCCAGCAGAGTCCCTGCTCTGTGTTTTGCCCTCTGTAACGCCCATCCTCTGCTCCTGTATTTATTACTCTGAAGCTGTGCCGATGCTACAAGACCCAAGGGACTACCTATCGCATCCTACAGGCTTTCTGGCCTCTCACCTTTGCTGCAAGTAAGCAGCTTGGTATTTTTTAGGTTCAGACAACTTCAGCAGCCGATCAGAAGGGAAGCCAAAATCCTCTAGCAGGGGACGCTCCCAAATCGTTGATTCCCGTCCACAGCTGTACAAGAAGAGGGACCTTGAGGAACAGCACAGAAGAGTTAGTAAAAGTCAACTGACAGAGAACATGATCCTGGCAGATGGTATCCTAAGTCTGGTTAAACGTCCGTGCCTGCTGCATGTACAACAGTTGGCACCAGTGCACATGGAAAAGCCATGAGTAAATGTGCATTTACACTTGAGATTTCCTGACTTTAAAGGCAAATGCTGATTGCACATGCAGACCCCTCCTCTAAGCACCCTCAGTGCATTGCTTTCGAAGTCTAGGCCTTTCCCCGGACCATTTCAAGAAGCCACCCCACAACACAACCTTGGCAGCATCTTTCTTGTTCAGCTCTGCCAATTTAGAAACCTCTGTCGCAAAGGCTTAATAACACCTTGTACTCTTGTAGCTCCTTTCATCCTGGGATCTCCCCAGGCTTGCCTAGTGCATGCTCATCCAGCTTTCCATCAGCCACAACTGTTGGAAGATGCCTGTCATCACCAGGGAAGAGGTGAGCAGAGGTGAGCAGAAAGGCAGGAAGGACTGTCAGACGGACACCGTTAGTCAGAGGCAGAAGGTCTGAGGAGGATGAGAGCCCCTGAACTGACGACAGTGGCAGAGGAGAGAAAACTACAGGCATGCGTGTTGACATCCCTCCAGGCAGAAGAAAGCCAGGAGTGCAACAGGGTTTCATCTCCATTCTCGTTGCTAGGACTTCTTACAGACTAGCAACTACCATCCTGTCTCCAAAAGAGCTTCGTCCCCTCCAACAGAGCTACAGATGAGTTGCTTGAAACAACGCAGCATCACCCAGCGTCAGTGAAGTTTACACTTTTTACATTATTTTTCACTGCTGTTCCCAAACATGGACTAGATTTTCACCGTGCGGTGACAGCAGAGGTTTAACTCCAAGCAAGACACCTGGATTCCTTCCAGTCAGCAGGATGCTGCAAGAATTCTCTGTTCATAGCACTTCCTAACCTTTATCCTCAACATTTAGGCCAGGCTCCAGGAGGATGCAGGGGATCACTAGTTTGTGTCCAGCTGCCTGGCTGGGCTGCGCCAGCCCCAGTGAGAGCAGGGAACGCTCCATGGACAGACAGTCCCTCTGCACACACAGCTGTGACACATACATGTTTCCATCAAGGTACGCATGCACGCACATGATGTCTCTGCTTCCAAGCCAAAGCAGAGCTGTTGGTTGGGGTTTTTTGTTACAGGCAGAGAAACATGCTCCCATGTGCTTGCAGACAGAGATCAAGTCTGGCTCCTAGGGCAGCTGCTCTGAACCCAGAGCTCTAATCAGACCAGGAACCATGAGGTGTTGCAGAACCCATTCCCACAGCCAGGAAGCCGATATGACGAAATAAAAAGGGAGCAAAACTTAGCACCCCCCAGTTCCTCCTCGTTTTGGAAGTTGAGCACTCAGGGTGACTATACTCCCACAGCACTTTCTTTCCTGATACAGACAGCCCATGTTCCAAGCACCAGTACAGCCTGGTGGGTCTCAGTGCCATGGAGCTCCCTGTGGGGCAGCGATGGCAGGAGAGGAGGTGGCATCTCCCTTCCCCTGGGAGCCAGCACAACCCCTGATTCGAGAGCACCCTCTGAGCTGCCCCCTACTCCAGGATGTGCTACCACGTCACTGACCTGCACTGGTGATTGCCAAAATCTTGCTTGGGCTTGGCCAGTGCCACTATTCTTGGCGATAGTCGAGCTGCCGCAGCACGCCGCGAGAGGGGCCAGATCGTCTCTTGGTTTCCCCACACGAGCCTAGCAAGAACAGCAAGGGTGTGAAATTTTAGGAACATGTACAAGTGTGAAATGTGCTTGCTGGGGTTATCCTTCCCTGCCTAGCATGGGACACACAAACACAGTCCCTATGGCTCCCCACAGCTGTAAAGTGCCGCTGCCATCCCCTGAGCACTCACCTTCCCTGGCACTGAATTTCCTAACACTGTCCCAGTGGTGGTTGTCAACTCAAAAAGAAAAGAGCCTTCAAGTGATGAGTCTGGTTGTACAGCTCCCAGCAGATGTGCAGAAAGGGTCATTTCATTACACGTCTGAAACCCCTGGGGGAGTTTCATGATTGCATTTTTCTTGCCTCACCATTACCACCTAACCATACCACAAGTATGACAGTAAAAATAATAATAACGTTACGGGCAGGGTGTGCCATGGAAAGTGGGTGAGGTTTTGCAGCACGTTAGTGGTTACTCTCCTGTGCCCAGGGCAAATTTGGAGTTGCTCATCCCCCATCGAGAGAGAGAGGCCACGGTGGGAGAGGGTACCAGGGCAGTCAGGAGAGGGAACAGGAGGACGATGGGTTTGTGGAGCCTTTTTCAAGCGCAGTGACCCCCATCCAGATAGTGGAGAAGAGACGATATCAAGAGACTGTTGCCCTGGCTTGTCATGCCATAGCTTGACCCCATAATGCAGACAGCAACTCTGTTCCTCAAGCCTGACTGTGTCCTCCAGGATACAGCAGCCTGCGGCTCCAACAAGGTCTGGTCCCCTGCACCACAGCACCATCCTACCATCTCAGCGGGGCAGCTCAGATGGGGTAGCAAAGGCAAGACGCGGGTCAAGCCCAGTTTTTTGATCGAAAACAAGAAAAAGCAAATTGAAGAGAGCCCCTCACGCGCTGAACACGTCAATCTGGGGTTTTCTGGCCACTTCTGCTCTCGAGAGGAAAGCAGTGGCAGGACAGAGGGAAAGGGTCTGCACCGGCTGAGGCCCCATCAGTCCCTAGCCCTCGCGCAAGGCCTGCCTGGGCGCCTCCTCACCTGGGGTCGTTTGCATAAGCCGCTTTCTTGGGTTCTGCAAGTTCTCGTATCCTGTCAAAACCGCAGAGAAGGACAAACATGCCACTAAACATACCGTTAAACCAACAAAGCATAAATAAGCTACTGCTCTACTCAAAGCCATAGAACACACTCTTGAACCCCCGTGCCTTTGCCTCCCTCCCTCGCGAGACTGCGTTTAACGGATCTCTCTCTCCAAGGAACTTTCCATCCGTTCAACCTGGGGAACTCGCCAGCCCATGGACATATGTGCTGTCTCTTGGATTACAGAGACACAAATTTGCAACTCTGCCCTCACTGCAGGGTCCCTCTGGGACACAGCAGAGAGAGGGGGAAGGTGCTTTTCTGGTCAATAACATGCCATGCAGCCCCAGCAGGTAGGAGATGGATGATCTCCCTCCCGGGCTACAGGAGCCCAGCTGAGCAGAAACACCTGTTATCAGCACTCCTGTGGTTTACCAAAAGGCACCATGGAGACAGCACAGTTTCCACAGGGCTTTAGGAGCACAGGTGAAGACATTTTTTTATTTATCATTTAATTTCAGTCTGTTTAGCACAGAGGTCTTAGATGCTACAGAGACACTGGAATATACATGGTCTGTGCCCTAGGAGCAGCGCTGGGAATGTTTTACTGAACATTCATCAGACCAAAAAAACTTCCAGGAAGATCAGACACCGCTGTGTGCTCCTGCTGCTCAAGTGTCCCAGGCCTGAAGCCCCAGGGTCTGGGAAGCGCTTGCGCTTTGCGAGCCTGGGTACAAAGCGCAGGACGAGGCGACACCAGCGCCGCAAGAGAGCCACAGAACTCCCTGGTGTCACTGACCAAGCCCACACCCCCACACCCACGGGGGCTGCAGGTGCCGGCCCCAGCCAGCTGTGGAACAACCACACGACGCGGGCAGCTGTGGAAGGGCCCCACCATGGAAAAAGCGCAGAAGGTGACAGCCTGGAGCGCTGCTTCCCCGCTCAGCACCACCCGGCAATCAGGCAGCACAGCCCTAGAGAGGAGCGGGGACACCAGCAGAGAGAGGTTTGCTGACAGAAAATGCTCCGTGCTTTGGGGACACACCTGGGGCCGATGCCTCCGGCGAGACGCCGAGCCCCACCAAGCGCCTGCCAGAGCGCTCAGCACCACAGAGACCCTAGCAATGGCGGCTGCTGTCAGAGGACCCTCGCCGCACGCTCCCTGCGAGACGCCCACTGATTTGTCTCCCTGCCAGACAGAGCAACACCTCCCCTCCGCTGCCCCAGACACGTTGCTCAAGGGGATCAGCTCCCTTCGAGACCAGCTCCTTGTCAAGCAAAGGGTCACAGCTTCGCTGCGAAGGGGCAGCACGGGCAGACGCGGTCTGTCACGAGAACGCAGGGGGAAGGGCAACACCAGGCACCATTTCCGCTGCGTGTTCACCTCAGCGTCACCCAACACAACGACTCACTGCTGGGCATCAATCCCCGACCGAGCCCTCCCCAGGAGACCTGGGGCACGGCCCGCACACCCAGCCCGGAGGCCGGGGCCGGGAGGGTTTCTTACCTGTTGCGTGAGCGTGCTGGCAAGCCCCAAGAAACTGCAAAGACAAGAAGAGGTGAATTCAGAAGCCTGGTAGCACCCGCAGCCCGGGCTGCCTGCTCTTCCGTGCGAGGCAGGG